TGTCCTAGCTCCTGCTGCTGTTGCGGTAGTACCGCGGTCCCTCACGGTAGTGCCGCATTGCCTTGCGGTCTGGTCAGGGGCGAAAGTACCGCATGGCCTTATGGTAGTACCACTGGTCAGGGGCGGTAGTACCGCAAGTCCTGGGCTGGTTAGGTGGATAACGGTTGGATTTTTTTCACAGCTATATAAGGGGTGTCTTCTTCCTCTAGTTGACCATCTCTTCTAACCCTAAGCTCCATTGTTGCTCCAAGCTCCATTTTCGCCCGATCTCACTCCCTAGCCAATCAAACTTATTGATTTGCTCGGGAGTGGTTGAGAAGGCCTCGATCTACACTTCCACCAAGAGAAATTTGATTCCCCCCACTAATCCCTTGCGGATCTTGTTACTCTTGGGTGTTTGAGCACCCTAGACGGTTGAGGTCACCGCGGAGCCATAGTCCATTGTGGTGAAGCTTCGTGCTGTCGTTGGGAGCCTTCAATTAAGTTGTGGAGATTGCCCCAACCTTGTTTGTAAAGGTTCGGTCGCCGCCTCCAAAGGCACCAATAGTGGAATCACGGCATCTCGCATTGTGTGAAGGCGTGAGGAGAATATGGTGGCCCTAGTGGCATCTTGGGGAGGATTGTGCCTCCACATCGCTCCAACGGAGACGTACTTCCCTTCAAAGGGAAGGAACTTTGGTAACACATCCTCGTCTCCACCGGCTCCACTTTTGGTTATCTCATGCCTTTACTCGTGCAAGCTTATTTGTGATATATCTCTTGCTTGCTTGTGTACTTATCATTGTTGCATCATATAGGTTGCTCACTTAGTTGCATATCTAGACAACCTACTTTGATGCAAAGTTTAAATTGTTAAAGAAAAGCTAAAAATTGTTAGTTGCCTATTCACCCCCTCTAGTCAACTATATCGATCCTTTCAACTAATTAAAATACTAAAACACAGTCATAAAAGAAGTATAATTGCATATTTCTTGAAAACAGAAGCAAAAACAAAAAAATAAAATTGGGTTCCCTCCCAACAAGCGCTATTGTTTTACGCCCCTAGCTAGGCATATTTCATAGATCTAAGTATTGTCATCTTTGGTATTCAATTCCTTCCTAATAACATCTTTCAAAACTTTTCTTAGTAGATTTCTCTTCTCACGTTCCTCCTTCCTAATGGGAGAGCTCAATTTATGGAAAGGACTTCGATTAGTAATTTTGACATTCATAATTTTGTACTCAAGATCATCACCATGGACATCTTCATATGAAACATGTATCTCATTTTTGATAGGATCCCTAGCCATCTCTTTAACCCACTCATTATTAAATCCTTCATCAATTACCTTAGTGACCCAATCAAATCTAGCATAAGCATCAATATATAAAGCTTGGATAACTTCGACATAGGGGACTCTTTTCCTTAAATTGTTACTAAAAGCAAAGTAATCCTTAGATTCCAGACCACGCATAGATTCTTTATCATAAAGAATTTCTTCTATTGGGGGATGCTCAGAATCTATTTTATAGTGAGCAAAAATTTCTCTAGCCTCTCAGACTATGTAGTCAAATTCACGCATAAGGATAATAGTAACATTTTTTTAGCTTTAGCATCATGAATGTTGGGGAGTTCATAAAACATCTTTTGTAAAGCTGGATGGATGTGTAAAAAATCTCCTTCTAATTTAACCACAAGCATAGAAATAGCGTCCACATAGCAATTTGTATTATCAAGGATGGTTCCCCTATTTATAGGCATAACTCCTGTGCAATCAAAAAATTCTTGAATAATGTTCTTCCCAATAATATTACCATCACCTATATGATAGATCTTTGTTTTAAGATTGGTAGAAGTATCAGTTTCAGAAGGATCATGATTAAGAACACAAGATTCAAAATTTTCCTCGAGATTTTCACTATTATTTTCAATGATAACTTCCTCAGATTCAGACACGATGGCAAGGCAAGCAAAGAAGCAAGCGAGGAAAAAGGCGAATAAAAAGGAAAATATTTTTGTGTTTTACTGGAAACGTTTTAGAAGTGGGGGAGAGGAAAACGAGAGGAAAATGGAAAATAATGTAAATGCAATAGATGAGAGTTTATGATGGGTACTTGGTAGGCTTGATGTAGATCCTCCCTGACAACGGTGCTAAAAATTCTTCCTGCTACTTCTTGAGCTTGTGTTGGTTTTTCCCTTGAAGAAATGGTGATGCAACAAAGTAGAAATAAGTATTTCCCTCAGTTAAGAACCAAGGTATCAATCCAGTAGGAGGAACACACAAGTCACCAATGGTTGCACCTACACAAATAAACAAATACTTACACCCAACGCGATAAAGGGGTTGTCAATCCCTTCACGGTTACATGCAAGGATGAGATCTTATAGAGATAGGTATAAAAGATAAGTAAAAGTGCAAAATAAAGTAATGGTAAATAAATTGCAGCAAGGTATTTTTGGGTTTTTGGTTTCATATATCTGAAATAATATGATAAAAATAGACCCGGGGGCATAGTTTACACTAGAGGCTTATCTCTTGAAAGAACGCATACAGTGGGTAAACAAATTACTGTTGAGCAATTGATAGAAAAACGAATAATTATGACAATATCTAAGGCAATGATCATGGATATAGGCATCGCGTCCGTGACAAGTAGATAGACCCCTGCCTGCATCTACTACTATCACTCCACACATCGCCTGCTATCCAAGATGCATATAGTGTATTAAGTTAACAAGAACGGAGTAACGCCTTAAGCAAGATGACATGATGTAGAGGGATAGATCCAATCAATATGAACAAACCCCATCCTTGTATCCTTAATGGCAACAATACAAATATGTGTCATGTCCCTTTCTGTCACTGAGAATAAGCACCGCAAGATTGAACCCATTACAAAGCACCTCTCCCATTGCAAGAAAAATCAATCTAGTTGGCCAAACCAAATCAATAGATCGGAGAGAAATACAAAGCTATCTTAATCATGCATAAAAGAGTTCAGAGAAGACTCAAATAATATTCATAGATAATCTGATCATAAACCCACAATTCATCGGATCTCAAGAAACGCATTGCAAAAGAAGATTACATCAAATAGATCTCCAAGAACATTAAGGAGAACATTGTATTGAAGATCAAAGAGAGGGAATAAGTCATCTAGCTACTTGCTATGGACTCGTAGGTCTGTGGTAAATTACTCACACATCATCGAAAGGGCTGCAAGGTTGATGTAGAAGCCCTCCGTGGTCGGACCCCCCTCCGGAAGAGGCCTCTAGATGGGACCTCACGAGGATAGTAACTTGCGGCGGCAGAAAAGTACTTTTGGTGTGCCCTCTGGTCTACCAGGAATATTAGGGTATTTATAGAGGAAGAATTAGGGTTGGAAGAGACAAAGGGGCCCCACAAGCTTGGGGGCGCGCCCCCTAGGGCGCGCCTTGTGAGGTTGTCGTGGCCTCGTGGCCTCCTCCCGAAGCTTTCAGGGTGTCTTCTGGTCCAAGAAAAATCATCGAAAAGTTTCATTCCACTGGATTCCGTTTGATATTGATTTTCTGTAAAGACAAAAACAAGGAAAAAAACAACAACTGACATTTGGCACTAGGTTAATAGGTTGGTCCAAAAAAATGATAGAAAATAGCATAATAATGCGTATAAAACATCCAAGATGGATAATATAATAGCATGAAATAATCGAAAATTATAAATACGTTGGAGACGTATTAAAGTTATTAATGACATGACAAGTACACATGCATTACATCTGTGACAAGTAGACCGTTAAACTTACTGACACCTACTGCCATTACTTCACTTCCAGAGCGCTTCTATACTTGCCTCTCTAGGTATTAACTTCATGGCAAACAGAGTAATGCTTTAAGCATGATTACATAATGTAGACAAAATAAGACCAAGCAATATGATCTAATCTCGTCGTTTTACCCTTGGTAGCAACAATACAAAAATGTGCCTTGCTACCCCTTCTATCATAAGGTGAGGACACCGCAAGATTGAACCTACTAAAGATAAATCAATCTAGTTGGCCAAACTAAATAGATAGATCGTAGAGAAATACAAAACCATAATAATCACACGTAAATAAAGTTCTGAAATAACTCAATTATTTTCAATGAACAATCTGATCATAAACCCACAATTCATCGGATCACAACAAACGCATCGCAAAAAATTACATCGAATTGATCTTCGAAGAGAACATTGTATTGAATATAAGAGAGAGAGAGAGAGAGAGAGAGAGAGAGAGAGTCATCTAGCTACTACTATGGACCCGTAGGTTTTATGGGGAACTATTTGTGCACCATCAGAAAGGCAGCAAGGTTGATGTAAAGACGCTTCATGATTGATGTCCTCTTCGACAGAGTATCGGAAAAGTTCTTCAGATGGGATCGTGGAAGAACTCTTTCATGCATAGGACAAATTTTTCATTTAATGGTTTAACAATTAAACTCTTCCATGCTTAGGACAATTTTTTTATTTAAGTGTTTTACACTGGTCTGTGCGCTTGGCGTTGATTCTTTCTAAGATCATAAACTCCTATCTCTTTTTTTAAATACCTTGCCATATCATATTTTTTGTCTATGTGACATGCTTAGCACCGATACAACATGAAGCACTGGGAAGGGCCTAAACCTGGACGAAGGGAGCACTTTGCCCTATATACATAGTCCAATATATTGTATATGCATAACACTAGTATATAAGTGGTGGTAACATAGACTAGTGTTATATCCATAATTTTTTTAATATGGTTATATGCATAATTAATCTAACTTTAACACTAATCTAACTTACTAACAATAATCGATGTTTCTTTCTAGTGGTCTTATCCATGTCTTTGTGCACCTCAGCATCTCCTCCACCAATAGCAAACCCCCCGGCCCTACGGCTCCATATTTTGTCCCGCCTTATCCACATCCCGAAACCACCACCAGCTCCTCCGCTTCCATCGTTCTTCCACCAACGCCTAGCTTCATCGGAACCGTACCCTCATCCCCTCCCCACCGCATGGCCGCGGCGCTCGCCTCCTCCCGCTGCTGCCGCCGCCCTTCGCTTCTTACCACTGATCGCCGCCGAAGCTCCGTCGCCCGGTGTGCGCTCTCCGGCGGGGTTAGGATCTTACAACTCATTACGGTCGTACTAGTAGTAGTCGCTGGAAGATAGCTCCTGGTAGAAATTCGGCTTCTTGATGATGCATGCCAATGTGGCTCAGTATTGCTGCATTTCTAAATCCAGTTGTGCCCGGGTATTTATTGATGCGATGGGAATGTTTTTAATTATGTGGTGAATGTAAATCTTGGGTGGGTGGGTATTTACAAACTATGCAATTTGGCCTGAAAGTGAAAGATGGTACTGAATGTTGGTGCACAAACACGACCAATGTTACTGTTTTCTGGATGACAAAAAGTTGAATATTACTTCAAAATGAATGCTAGAAGAAATCATGTGTAAATTTAGTTCATGTTGCTGTTGAATTAGGGATGTATGTATATGCACTAAATATAGTTTGAGAAAATGGGGATTTTCGCAAAACATGAGTCTGGGGGCACGAGGGGTAGCAATTCATCTTTTTCTGGACATCAATATCTTCTGGTCTTGCTTGACATTAATTTGAAGTTCAGGTGAAAATGGAATAACTGTAACCAAATGATAATTTTGTGCAATTCATGAAAATGGTTCGAGCATTGAGTTGGAAGGATCGAGTCCGGAATGATGATATACGAGATAGAGTTGGGGTAGCACCAATTGAGGAGAAGCTTGTCCAACATCGTTTGAGATGGTTTGGGCATATTCAGCGCAGGCCTCCAGAAGCTCCAGTGCACAGCGGACGGCTAAAGCGTGCGGAGAATGTCAAGAGAGGGCGGGGTCGACCGATTTTGACATGGGAGGAGTCCGTTAAGAGAGACCTGAAGGATTGGAGTATCGACAAAGAGCTAGCTATGGACAGGGGTGCGTGGAAGCTTGCTATCCATGTGCCAGAGCCATGAGTTGGTTGCGAGATCTTATGGGTTTCACCTCTAGCCTACCCCAACTTGCTTGGGACTAAAGGCTTTGTTGTTGTTGGTTCGAGCATTGAGTTCTTCGTTAGGATTGGAACGTGTAGAATTGTTTTTTTTCCAAAGTATCTCCTTTGGTCATTAGATGATTAGATATTGTAGCACATATGGAACCATCCAGTAATGCTGTAGTAATACAGTTTACATATAAAAGGGCAGCCCGGTGCATGCAGCTCCCGCTTGGGCAGGGTCTGGAGAAGGGTCCGACCACTTGCAGTTTACATATATGGCCCTTAATTTTCTTTTCCTGGATATATTTTGAATAATGCATGCTTTGGAAGGCACAACTTATGTTGAGAATATGTATTGTCTGTATATATTAACTTGTATACTTTGTTTTATGATTTTGCTGTTTTAATTGTCCTTTTTGAGATTAGTTATTGCAACTGACTATAGGTTTATACTATGAGCTGCTCTTCTCTAATTTTTATTTCCTTCAATCTCTGCAGAAAGGAAACTCATTTAGCTGGAAAGAATGTGCAATTTCTGTAGCATTGTCTGTTGGATTAATTAGTGTCCCACCAACATTTGGATGGTCGGCCCATGCATATCCTCTCGAACCTGTAATTCCTGATATTTCAGTTCTTATTTCTGGACCTCCCATTAAAGATCCAGGTGCTTTGTTGAGATATGCTTTGCCCATAGATAATAAAGCTATTCGTGAAGTTCAAAAACCGCTAGAGGATATTACCGATAGTCTCAAAGTTTCTGGTGTTAGAGCGTTGGATTCAGTTGAAAGAGTAAGTCATTCTTTCAAGATACCTGGTAGCAAAGATCTATATTTCTTTAAAGAAGTAGAAAGCAGCTATATGCTGTCTCAGGTTTCTTCAATCTACTTTATGCATATGGATCCTAGGATTTTTTTTAATTTTTCTTCAAATTGTAGAATGTGAGGCAGGCCTCAAGAGCGCTGACTAATGGTAGGAGTTTAATACTTTCGGGTCTTGCTGAATCAAAGAGAGCAAACGGAGAAAAAACATTGGATAAATTAGCTGTTGGACTTGAAGAGCTTCAACGAATTATTGAGGATAGAAACAGGAATGCGGTAGCTCCAAAGCAGAAAGAGCTTCTCAATTATGTTGGAACGTGAGTAAAATTATTGCCTTAAATTTTAAATTAGATCCACTTCCCTTATTTTAGTCAGTTTTAATAACCAACTTTCGGGGGTCAGATTTGGTACTCTAGTTTTCTTTTTGGAAAATTATGGTGTCCATCTATAATATTCGCATTTCCTTGAAAACAAGGTAATTGTGACATATGATACCTTTGTAGCATTAGAGAACTGAATTGTATCTACCAGTAAAAAACTACTGAGAACTCTTATGAAAGAGCTCTTCTCATTTATACCCTGCCATTGACTCTGCAGCTGAGATCTTCCTGGGACATTGCATTTCTGCAGTGTAGAAGAAGATATGGTCGATGGCTTCCCCTATGAAGTACCAGAAGAATACAACAACATGCCTCTTCTTAAAGGAAGAGCTACTGTGGATATGACGGTTAAGATTAAAGATAATCCAAACGTAGAAGATTGTGTATTTCGGATAGTTCTGGATGGATATAATGCTCCTGTGACTTCTGGGAACTTCGTAGATCTGGTGGAACGGAAGTTCTATGATGGCATGGAAATCCAAAGAGGTAACCAATGTCTCAGGTGCATTCGATAATTATAATATACTTAGTCTGCAGTAGCACTATCCACCATTTGGTATTTTTGTACAGTTTATTATGCATAATAATTGATGCTTTCAGAGCAATTAGCACAGTTTAAGATGTCTACTGTTTAGTGCTCAGAATCACTACTGAACATGCAAGTGTGTCTAAGCAGTTAAAAAGTTTACTGATACAGCGTGGGTGTTGATTCTCTTGCAGCTGATGGTTTTGTTGTTCAGACGGGAGATCCCGAGGGACCAGCCGAGGGTTTTATTGATCCCGGTACTGGCAAGAGTCGTACCATACCTCTTGAGATAATGGTTGATGGTGACAAGGCGCCTATATATGGCGAAACACTTGAGGTATGTAACCAGCACTTAACTTTTTTATTTATTTCACGGCTGCTGGGAATTCTGGCTGCTGTGGATTGAATGTTCTTAGAGTTTGTATGGCCATGCATTTCAGGAACTTGGTCTTTACAAGGCTCAAACAAAGCTTCCTTTTAATGCATTTGGAACGATGGCAATGGCTAGAGAAGTAAGGCTCACCTAGACTCTTCAATTTTGACATATCAAGGATATGCCAAAATAATTATTACCTCTTTCCAGAAATATAAAGTGCACATGCTTCCCCAAATTTATAGTTGATCACGAATTTGTTTAGCAATACGTGATAGAAAATTGATACTCCCTCCAACTCATAATATAAGATGTTAATACTCCCTCCATGCCGTAATATAACATCTTATATTATGGGACGGAGGGAGTATAATTGAATTTTTATTATAGAGCACTTTCCAATGTTACCGACCTTGCATCTAACATCCATCTATAGTTGGATTATTGTTCAGAGTTAAAGCTTCCGTAACCTGTACGTCTTATATTTCTGGATGGAGTGAGTACCATTTTCTTAGTTGTACCCAAGTTTTTTCTTCTTCTTGATAACATTATTTTGGACGGGCTAGAAGAACTGGTTTCTGGAAAATATCAGTGTTTTACTTCCCGAAAAATTCAGACAAAATTTGAAATCGTTTTGTTTTGGGTCAAAATATAAGTTTGTAGCCCTGACCTATAGCTGCGCGTGTCCCAACAGTTAGTACAATTCATTTATTCCTCGAAATAAGTAACAGGTTCGAGTTCTCTTTGGTGCACAACCGTGAAAAGCTCACATATATAATGGAGTGGACGGAATTCGACCGCGCCACCAAACACACCTACTTGAACACCTGTTACCACTGCGCCAAGGTCTGCTCTACATTGTTATAAGCATGCACATCTTATTTGACCCTGTTTTTACATTCAAATTCAAGTTTATCCGTATTTGTTTGAACGGTAGTACTGTTTTCTTAGGAGGCAGTGGAAACACAGACCGGGAAAAAAATCCCTGGTTCTAACACAAGGCTTCTTCATATCTTGACAGGAATTTGATGACAACTCCGCTTCTAGTCAAGTCTTCTGGCTCTTGAAAGAAAGTGAGCTGACGCCAAGCAATTCCAATATATTGGATGGGCGGTATTCGGTGTTTGGATATGTAACCGAAAATGAGGATTTCTTGGCTGATCTCAAGGTTGGGGACGTTATTGAATCAATCCAGGTTGTCTCAGGCCTAGACAATCTTGTCAACCCGAGCTACAAGATTTTAGGGTAGCATGTTTCTGTATATAAGAGTTCTTTGACAGGCAATTGTTCTACGGTATTAAAACCGATGTCATGCGCTGCAACTTCTAACCTTGTACAATTGTTTTGTTTCCCTTTTTATGCTTATGGTTTGGCATTCTGTGGAATTCAACAGATAATAGAAAGATCAAAGTTATTTACCACGTCTCCTGCCAGTAGGTCTGTTTTTGCTGTGTAGAGCCTCAAGTTAAATTAGGTTTGCAAGAAATTCAGAAGACAAGACTGAAATTGTAATCAGTTTCCTAGATAAACTATGCGGCATCCCATTTGTATGGCCTCAACAGCATTTTGCGGAGATTTCTGCAATTTTCTTGGGGATTGTGTTAATGATGTGTTTTGTCTATGCCATGATGTGCTACGTTTCGCAAACTGAGTATCGTTTTTTTTTACGGGAACTGAGTATCGCTTAGATGACTAGGCTCTTTGTGGTGGAACGTGTCCATATCGGTTCAAGTCCTACGCTTGGTCCAGATAGTCATATTTTTTCTGAATTTAACCTAGTCTTTTTGGCAGTATTTTTTGAGTGATAGGATGTTCGTGTCAACTACGAGACATCTATGTCGACTTTGTGGTTCCTAAAATTTACCGGCTTAGTTTCTCGGTGATACTTATAGGGCTTGGGTGTGCGTTCATAGAGGTGAGTGTGTGTATGTGTATGTTAGTGTTTACATTTTAATATCTATATCTATACCTAATCTTTCCCTAATAATAAAGCACGGATTGACTTTGTCGCGTTCACCGTCACAATACGTTTCTTTATGTGAATTTACGCTTTCAGTTTTTTTCTTCAACACGTCTATTTATTTTCTATATACAAGGTGATACTAATCTATCTATTCTGTTAATTGTTCGTTTCGATCATATGTAGCGACAACTGCCAAACAGAAGTTGCATCGTATACGAATAGGAAACTAATCCCGTGTTGTAAGGAGGACAAGACGTAAGTTAATCTCTCCTCTCTCACCGATCCAGCACCCCGGCCTCCCCTCCCATCTCCCCTGATCTAGCACTTCGTTTTGGTTCAAAGCAACCCACGCGGTTGGGCGCCTGGTATGTCGCGGTCGAGGTCGGATCGGCGGCCTGCCGGGACGCAGCAGCGGCAAAGTCCGGCAAGGTTCCGCTGGATTGGGCTGTGGCCGACGTGCTCGAGGTTGAGTGGACGGCAAAGCCCGCGCCAGGGCCAGCTACGCGTGGTGGCGCGGCAACGGAGGCCTACAGTGGCGTGGCAAGGGCGTGCGCGTGAGGCGGCCGACGGAGGTTGACGGCGCTGGGAGAGGAGGAGGTCGTCCGACTTACCCGGCCAGCGGTTGCGCCCACAGCCGCATCGCTGGTCTCTTCCTCCCACAAATAGCGAGGCTGCCTACTCTGTTTTCTTATATGTACATGACTACTCCACTAGCATCATCGACGAGCACGCCCACAACCACGACGACGAACTGCTCTGTTGGCCACGAGCGGCACCAAGATGTGGACTCCCAGCTCAGGCGACTGGCATGGATGCGTGGGTCACGCGATTGCCATTTAGGACGCACGGCTCCAAGCATGGACACATGGCTCCGGCGAGGTCCCTGCTGTGCAGCGGCACCGCTGGCTGACGATCTTTTTCTAATCTCTGAATGTCACCGCACATGGTTGTATTTGCAGTAGCGGCGCCGCCGGTCGCCGGCCATCGACCTCTTTTTTTTTTACTTTTATAAATGTCAACAAAAAAGGAAAAATTTAATCTCATCGATTTCCTCACATCGCAACGTGAGAACAGAAGGAAAATAGCGTCGCTGAATCGAACAGGAGGAAATAGCGTAGCCGAATTAACCAAAAAAATCCATGGCCAAGGCAGGTGGGACAGAGTACTGCACGACGTAGAGTCTGCCGTCGACGTAGAGTCTGCCGTCGCCATGCCGTGGTTGCCGCAGGAAAGAGGAGTACTCCATGACGCCATGTGGTCGCCGGGGACCCTGGCGACGTTGGCCCACGCTAGACGATGACAAGGCCGAGCGCCGAGTATAGGAAGAGATGATCCTTGGTCAGAACTCGGGACACGACATGTAATCGTTGTCCGTTAGAGGACTCAACCAGCGATGTCGGGCTCAACGGAGATCGGGGTGAGAAAGAGAGGCTCCAGCAACGGCGAGGGCTTGCAATGGTGGCCGTGCACCATGCTGGGTGATTGATCGTTGACGAGTTTGGCTTCTTTTCCAGTGCATAGGTTGGGCCGCTGGGGGAGTCGTGGGGTGTGGTGCTCCTGCGCTAAGTCTGCAAAACTGGTGAGATCCTACGGTACATCTACGAGCGTCCCTTCGTCTTTCTGGACCCGAGCGGGCTGTGTCTAGGGCGAAGACATTGCTCGAGAGGTACACAACGGTGCCGCAGCTTCTATTGCACTTCACGTTACTCCACCATGCATATTGGTTTTGAGACGCCTAGCTAAGTCTGCTTGGTAAGTTGGCATTTGCCTTTGTTCTTTAGCTCTTTTCTCCATCCTTTTTCAGTGTTCTCTGATGTCTCTAGCGGCTCGAGCTAAGAATCCGGAAGGAGCAACACCAATGTTTCTTTCAGCTGTTTCAATTGCAAGAACAGCGCGTTCATGTCAATTTAATTTTACTTGCTGATTCCCACTGTGCCGTTATATTATTTGAGCATCCAAGTTTTGCAGAAAAGAAATGCGAAGAGGACAGTGAAGATGGGACCTTAATCCTAGCACACTTAATTGAAGCAAAATAAAAATCTCGCTCCACAAGAGTATATGGCCTTTTGGCGTCACCAGATCAAACGAGGTGCTGATGGCAAGCGTAAAATATTTTCATCTAGCATCTGAAGTCTGCGTACAATATTTCCATCTAGCATCTAAAGTCTGAACATTAGTATTTTCATCAGCCTTGAAACAAACATTACCATTAACCGTGACTACTGAATCTCTCACTAAGAAAGGAGCTAAAGAATTAATATTCTCCAAACAAGTGCACATATATTAATTTAAGATCCTTATGCCATGCTCCTCATCTCACTTTCTTACATTTACACTCTGTAACACATGAAGAGGTGGACGGCCTGTAGCTTTAGACTATTTCAGGCACATTAAGAAAATAACTAATAAATGTCTAATTTGCTTCCATACAAAGCTATGTATATTTTGGTACTACAATTTTAATGGATATGAAAAACACCGTGTGCAACGCTAGGTCAAGGCAAGACACATCAATGTAGTCATCAGTCTAGCTCATTATGTGTACATCAACGCAGTTCGCTCAGCAAAATAATATTTTGTTGTGGTGCCTTGAGTCGTGATGAGATCAATCATGTTTTTGTTTTTGAAATGGCTTTTTAAAAGCAATAATTCAATATCGTGCCCGGGCTCCTCTGCACCCGTTGAACAGTAAAATTCAAAAATAGCAATAAAATTAAAAAAATCTGAAATCCTTTTTGCATGCAAGATACTTGAGTGGGCCAAGTGCGTGAAAACATTCGTGGGTAAATGATATTTGTGGAGCTTGCGCCAAAAAAAAAACAAATTCGGCTATAAACAGTGCATATTTTCAAAGTTTCTCACAGGACCGTAATTTATCTTTTTTGCCACGAGCTCCTTGAATGTCCAAACTTCACTAAATTTGAAATGGATATCACACATTCGATCATCTTGCACGGCAAAAAAATTCAGATTTTTTTAAAATTTCTTGCTATTTTAAATTGTATTACTGTCACACCCGAGAGCATTTAGACCTGGATGCAGGATAGCCACATTCTTTTGAAAGTCCCTTATCTCATCATGACATATGTTTCATACATAGTTTATAAAATGACATTTAAAAGTCCTCATCACATCCTCACATATGTTTCGGGCTCTTTTTAGGTGTACCACGTCTGCATAGTCTGATTGTTTTTCTTCCGTTGCAACGCACAGACATATTTACTTTTATGTTGACTCCGTGGGTTCACGTCACAATACGTTTCTTCCCGTGAATTTACGCTTTCAGTTTTCTTTCTTCAACATGTCTATATTTATTTTCTATATCCAAGGTGGTACCAATCTATCTATATATCCGTTTTTTGTCCTATATATGTTGCCCACTTGAAGTCTTTTCGTTCGCAAGCACTCCCGGTCTCCCCGCTCGTGTTTGTTTCCTACACGAGACACCAATCTCCACAACCTTGGTTGCCGCCTCTAACCCTCCAATAAATACTGGCTCATGAAAGAGAAGGCAAAAGGTGGATCCGGCGGTAGAGACGGACTAGCAGATGGAGTCATCAGACGAGAGGAGGCATACGATGAGGCAAATTCCACAGGGTGCTTCGTCCCTCCTGCCGACCGTGAGCGAAAAGGATGGAAGAGGAGGGCTAGGCGGCAAACCTTCGAAACTAGTTGAGAAGCGAGTCCTAGAGCCCCGTGGCGCTTTCTGGCAACGCTCGAGATCGTCCGTCGCCTACGCGCCCGCCTAATCTATCGAGGGAATTAGCAGTTCCCGATTGGAGAGGAGGAAGAAGGGAACACGAGGACGAGACGACCGAGACGTCCGTTGTCTAGCAGCAGACGGTGGGTTTGACGAGGACAGTGGTTGTGCTGGTGTGCCGCGTGCGTCCGGTAACTGTGTCCGGCAAGCGTGACGTGCGATGCGCGCTCATGTGCACCACTCGGGCGGCAAAGCATGCTGGCCGCCTGCATGCGTCTCCGTGGTCATGTGCGTGGCATGTGTCCAGCGTATGGGGCTTGGTGTGCGTAATTATCTGATCGTCTGCTCTCTACACAAGCCACGGTCCTTCGGCATAAAAAACAACATGCATCAGGAAGGAAGCATCCCTGTGTTTTTTTGTTCGCTTCAGTGCTCTGGTACACATCTCTAATTGTGTGGTTGCATAGTAGGAGACGAGGGGTGGGCTGTGACTTGAACATATGATTTGATCATCTTGATGTCATTTGTGAACTAAATTTGCTATATTTCTTTGAGTTAAAAGAAGCACGGAGTAGATATAGATAAT